TTTCTTCTGAAACTGAAGTGACTCCTGGACGACGGCACTATTAGATTGAAAAGAAAATAACAATATACGACATACCATAGAAATACGCGTCATACAAGCTATCTTCATCGCTCATGCCCGATATCTGACTCATCCTATTTGACCGTCTTGACTCTGATGACGAGCGACGTAGACCCACCTCGGAGGGTGTATCCGCACGCAGCGTCGTCGAAGACGACGATGATGTCGGTGGCGGCGAGAAAGCCCGCTTTTCGTAAGGGGCTCTGATAATTGCATTCGCCGAACAGTCCGTCATGAACGTTCGCACGCTACTTACAGAGTCACGCACATAGTGCCGCAACCCTGAGTGCTCTCGTCCATTAGTATCATGACTTCGGCTCCAATTATCATGATCATGCTCGTACTCTTCAAACAGAGGGGTATGCATCACCATGGGCGACGATGAGAGGCGGCACTCGAGATCAGCGCACGACGCGTTAGAGCTTTGGTAGGAGTAAGGCCGGACGGTACTACTTCTCTGCGTATCGATAGAGGATCTAGTAGGTCCAAAACCCGGCGAGCCCGACGCCGATCCTGACCCTGATCCCGAGCCTGGTCCTGAGGTGCGCATAGAAGAACGTACAGAGGTGCTCGGAGGTGAAAGTAGCATGGCCGACGCTGGTCTTGATGAACGCATGCTTGGACTATGTTCGCCCGTCAAGACATTTAGTGCATCTGCATGGGCTGCCGACCGTGTGGAGGAAACAGACGCATGCGAGCGACTACGAAATAAATGGTTCCTCGGGTGCTCTACATGTACGGCGGAGAGACCGTCTGCCGACGACACCGTGTCTTCGGTGGAAGAGGAGGGCGGCCTGAAGAACATGCAGTTGCGGTTACTACCCGCATCAGGTGCGCCCTCTGTGCGCAACGCACGAGGGATAGCGCGTGGAAGCATCTCTTCTTCCGAGAACACCCCATCTCCCGACTCGTGGTCAACACTCGACTCTGAGTACTGATAGTCTGAGTAGAGATGGTCGTATTGAGAGTCCCGAGGATCTTGACCGTCTTCGCGCTCATCCTCCTCCTTGATGGTCAAATCCTGCAACCCACGTCCTGAACCGAGGCGCATGTCGGTTTCATGAAACGGATCCATCCCACGGGGGATAAAACGCTCGTGTTCGCGTAGAATGAGCATATGTGCTTCTTCGTCGAAGGGTAGATTCTCGCCCGCTTCAAGACTTACGATAATTGGATCGCCCATGTCCATGTCTACTGTATTCCCCTTGCCCTTCGCCTCAGCAGCTCCTGCAATGGCGGCATTGTTAAAGCGTGCGTTTGAGGGCGAATAGGGCGAGCGGGGTGTACGCATTGCATGAGGGGAACCGACTGGCGAGGGTAGGGCATGGGAAGACGTAATAGAGTCCGCCACGCTCGTGGAGTCGGAGTTATAGCCACCATCGTCCTCCCTCAGCCCTCCAATGGCTGACGCGAAGCTGATAGCTGCAGGTGCTGATGCAAGAGGCTTGGCTACTATACTCTGAGAACCATTGAATGGCGGGGAGCCAGGCGTCCCGGGCGTCCCAGAACGAGAAATGCTAGGGCCAAGATTGCTTGTGCTAACGCCCATCGTCCCCTCGAGAGTCTGCGCTCGAGGGCGGGGTGCTTGTGTATTTCTGTCTGGCCCCGGTTCGCTGGCAGTTGGTGACCCAGGAAGCATCGCACCCTTCCCGCCTTGCATAATCGGTGGCCTTCTTGGGCTTTTCGGAGGCATTCCGTGAGGGGGTGGCGTCTGTAGAGATAGACTGCTTGCAGAGAAATACATTCCGCCACTGGCAAACATGCTCGAGCCACCAGCAAACGTGGTCGAACTAGAGGATCGCGAGCTTGGACGGGAGCGGATGCTAGCCCTATCACCGTCTTTACTTTTGGGGCGTTCCTTCTCGAGTCGATCGTAATCCCGGCGCCAAAAACCGAAGAAGTCACGCACGACACGTAACTGGCGAAGCTCCGTGATGAGTGTCGGCACATCCTCTTCCTCGCGAAGGAGCGCCTCAATGAGGTTTTTAAACTCGGCCCCACGATGCTCGATTGTCTCCTTGCTAGCTTTGAAAAGCGTACCCTTCTTCGCAAGGCGAGGGAGTACTCCACGCAGATCTTTTGCTATCATTGTTGGGTCCGGACCAGGCGGCAGTGACTCGAAAGAGGCCGCTCGATGCAGGCGACGTAGTGGGTCCTCGTGCTCGTACATGCCATTTTTCTTTACGCCTTTACCCGCGTTCAAACGTGCTCGTTTTTCGCGAGACATTATGCCATACTGAACATCGAGGATATCTTGGAAATAGAGGCAATCTTCCCAGCGGCGCCAGACCTCGTATTCACTTTTGAGGGGAGCCGTCGATGATGAATCCAGTGTAGAGCCAGCTTGCGAGCTTGAGCCTGATCCAGATGAGGAGGACCCATTGGAATTATCTGATGTTCTGGAAATGGTGGAATGTCGGTCAGAGGCGTCGTGCAGAGGCGTAATACGCATGCCATAGCTGAATGCATTGCCTATAAATGAACATGCGACAACATCAAAACGCGCCCACGAGACGAGACAAGACATGTAAGGCGCACCATGCTTCTGGGGAGCTAACACCTGAACCGAGAAATGGCGAGGAGGCTGCTTATACACTGCTCTCTTGTACGCCTGAGTCGAAGGTGGACCGCCATCAGTGCCCTGTGTGAAGCCGTTCATGGTGGTCAGACATAAAGAAGATAAGCACAAGTTGCGAGTATTTAAATTAGTTTACCGTGAACTGTTCGGAGAACACTTGCATACTACTGTATCTCACGGCTTCGGATCTTTATTGACTCCGAGAGCGCGCGCACGAGCACACGAGCAACGTCGAGAACAGCCCGCTTCAGACCGGGTGTTGAGCCTGCAGCGAACAGCACTTCTGCGATTGCCAGTAATGAGAATGCAACGACGAGTTGTGCGCTGGACCAGCGACGAACTGGCCGCAAGCCTGGCGGCTGACACGCAGGAACAGCTAAGGGACAGCTGTACTTAAGATTCAAGATCAGGAACGGCATAGCTTCGGAGAAGACGGCTTTCTCGACATACTTTCTGTTCGTCTCCGTCAGTGCAAACGGTAAGGAGCTGATTGAACACTCTGCAAGAGACAACGAGCTCGAGCAAGACGAGCGACGCAGTGAGGAAAAACATTTGAGAAACCGTGACTGTAATTATTATTGTTCAGTTCCTATCGAGCCCAGTCTGCATTCCAATAGTTCCCACGAATCTCTACCACCTAACTCGTCCGGACTCTCCCGGTGCGACATGCGCAGCACCAGTTCTTAAATTCTGTCTCAGTTTCTTGAACAGACTTCTGGTCTTGTACAATATTTCGTCAAATCCACCGCGCACTTCTCACAGATAAATCTTACTTCTCATGATTTTTTGGTGTTTACCTTCCGTTCTAGGCAAACCTTGCAGGATGAGTCCACGCGTTCCCGAGCTTTAGGTACGCGCCCTCAACTGATGGTCTCATGTAGCGCGCACAATAATAGGTTCTAGCTCCCCTTACGTAGCCCTACTTCCTGTCGCAATAGGTATCATCATTTGTTGCCTTTCACCTATCTATCGGAAGCAATTAACGCTGGTTAAACACATTGGATACGAGTGCATCATACATGTGCATCAGAGTCTTCGGACTAATTTCCATACCAAATTCCGCAAACTGGATAATATATTGCGCTGTAAACACTTCCTGCCGTGCTTCATTACGCTCCGGTTTTTTGTCCGTTCATCTCCTGAACAATGGATGAACTTCTGTGGAACAAAGAAAAGGCCGAGATGCTGATAATGCGGAGCCACGCGGTTATCTGAGTCTATCCTAACCTTACTCGGTATGGAAGGAAGATGATCCTTCTTTCGCTTTTCCCTTCTGGGGAACGAAACTTTCGAGGGAGAGTTGCAAGAAGCTATCCTCCTTTGCTAAGTAGGAGGACAGCTCCTTGCAACTGTCTCCAGGAACGTTGCAAATTTCCCAACTTCGAATATATGTAGGTTAGCCGCTAGTCGGATCAAAAAAGGCACTATACCGTTCTATTTAACATTAACAGTGCATCACCAACCATGCGGAGACTCGGAGGTTTAGATACGGCTAAGTCTCATAATGCAGAGTCGGACACAAAGAGAGTACTACAACAGCTTTGTGTGCTTTGGGCCAACACTATCACAAGCCTACACTAATATGCAAGTGCTGTGACTTGCATTCTTCATCGAGGCTCATCCACTAAGGTTGCCACATTTTTCACGACCTACTCACGCGACTCTAACGCAAAATATGAAATCCTTTACTGCCGGAATTCGGAAGCAAGCCTGAGCTTAAATACATTCGGGGACATAACTATTGGCTTGCTCTCATCGCAAGGGAAAAACAAGCCCTTCCCGGACCCGTAAAACAATTTCAGCTTAACCACCTGCGTCTATTTATCTTCACACATCCGCATCCTCCGCTGTCGTTCACCATTGCCTACAGCACGCTGCCAGCTCAAGTTGCCTCCAAACGCTTTCTATTTTATGTAGTATTTGTGGTGGGGCCTTTATCGGACCTACAACCGAGCTTGAATATGTGGTCCTAGCTACAGCTCAGATCATGTGATAGCAGTGATAGTGAACGGTGCAACCTCGAATTGACTGTGTATATGTTGTATTTGCATCATGAATGTATAAAAAGAAGGCTTTAACAGTTATACATCGTGTTTAGTCTTTTCGTAGGTAAATGCGACGATGTGGACGTTCGCGCGGTGCGGACGGGAACCACCTTCCTTATTTAGGGGGGCCGTAGACTTTCTACACCCACCTGTATATGCTTATAATGATTGTTGACACATTGATAGTTCAATACAAGATCTGCTTCTTCTGAACCTGATATTCTATTCTGAACGACGGGAGGTTGAAGCTTATGTAAGCATTTACATAATTTGTCACGCGGGACAGTTGAATTTTCGTGTCAGTTATAAACGGATGTGGCTTGATGGTCTAGAGGTATGATTCCTGCTTTGGGTGTGTAATTATCTATGAAAATTGCAGGAGGCCCCGGGTTCAATCCCCGGTCAAGCCCTTTTTGCGTGTATTTCTTTGGCTTGAAATTGTCTTTTATCATCTGAAAAACTTCATGTGAGTTTTGGGAAGCCTTTGACTTACTTAAGAGTGATGGTTTAAAAAGACGGTAGTAGTACGATGCCAATTGAGCAAGAGCTTGATAGAAGGACGCATGTTTTAAAACAGATCGTACAATTGTGAATTTGTACTTCTGTTATGTAGAGGAAATGTTGAGGTGAACCTGAAGAATTGATCTGGGAAATTCGATAGATCACTGAGATTTTTTTTTCACATTGTGCTCTTTCTGTTTATCAGAATAAGCATTGAATCATATTGCAATTATATACTCTAATTTTCCTTGAAATCAATAACAAAGAAATACTGTTTCAATGCTCAGACTCGATACATAAAAGGCTGCGCTGATCCAGATTTGTCTTTTCTAGAAGGCTTTAATCGTGATGATCGACGCCTCCGCATCTTACCGTCGTGCTCAAACATCCTACAGATTGGAAAAGGAGCTGTTAGTGAGAGGATTTCTGCAGCCCAATACGCTGTTACACCCACTTATCGTTATTATAAGGTAGAGATCTAAGGTAAATCGCATATCGCCCGGTTGATTTAACGCTGGATTTCGAGTCATGAAACTCTCCTCGCCGGCCTTGGGCGAGTACGAGCAGGTGTTGTGGACCTCTCCCAACATATACAGGATGTGCAGCAAAGGAATCGTGCTGTTGAGATAGTCTACCAATCACATGCACGATGGCCTCTGGTCACTAGGTCTTATTCTACGGACGTAGGAGATTCACCAGCTAATGCAGGTGCGTACTAGCACAGTTGTTTTGAATCCAATCACTCAGTCAACAACTTGGTTTCTCCAAACTGGATCAAAGGCCCTTCAATCACCAGTTCAAAAGCAGGTCTCAGAATAGCGATTCTCGACTCTTCTTTCAACCCTCCAACGCTTGCACACCTCGCGCTCGCACGCTCCGCCCGCCACTCTCACGACGATGATCACTCACCCTGTGATGCTCGCCTGCTTCTTCTCTCGGTACGCAATGCAGACAAAGCCCTCAAGGCAGGGGATGCGAGCTACGAGCAAAGGCTAGAGATGATGAAACTGCTCGCGGAGGAACTTGAAGATCAATTAAGTTCTCCAGGGAAACAAGAAAGTGGAAACGTCGCGGTAGCAATTATCGACGAACCGACATTTGTCCGCAAGTCCGCTGTCTTGCACCAGTTCTTGCAGGACCGAGTCGCCTCTCTCAAATCTGACTCTTCTGAACAAGTCGATGCCGTCCTCAGCTCGCCTCGTCCGACCTCATCTCCAACATTGGTGCCTCAAATCAAGCTCGATTTCCTCATGGGCTTCGACACGCTTGAGCGGTTCCTTGCACCGCGTTATTACTGGGGAATCGAGCGACGCCATGCACGCAGCGCTCAGACGGTTTTTTGCCCCGCCGCCCGAGGGGGACGGCTCGTCTGTCATTTGTGCATGGAGAGGAGAAAGAAGTCCAGAGTTTGCCAACTTTCGATCCAATACGTCTTTTACTGGCGCGGTAGAGATCGAGAGAGAAAGGGCGCAGTCTTCACGCGCCGAACTCCCAACAAAAATGAGCGAAACTCTATCGCTTGCTCGGCCTTTCATCAAATCCGGCTTGCATTTCGTTTGCGGAATTGACGGATCGCGAAATGAGTCTAAGCTCGAGCGAAGTACGCGACAAACGGGCGGACGGGGATACAGCGTGGATGGACATGGTCCCAGGCGACAGTGGGCGAGTTTATAGAAAGAGATAACCTATACGTTCAATGAACTGATAAAAACGCATTCGATCGCAGTTTGAAGGAAACCGATTTTTTCTTTATTATCAGTCATGAGTGAGCAAGAAATTCCGAATACAGAAAAATGAGTCGTAAAAGTAAATCGTGGAATTATTAATTGTCTTGAAAACTGGTATATCGTGAATTTCGTCAAGACAAGGCGAAAAAATCCTACATCTCTATCCCAGAATGAGTACATTAGTCTAATGAAAATTTTAGGTAGAAGTAGCCTGAGCGAAGGCGACCGCAGCAGTCTCTGAGTGACTCAGGCTAAGAAGAACCTTTTTGACTACCTTTGCTCTCTGCGGCGGCGCGAGCATCGCCATGAAGTGTTACGGTGGGTACGCCTGACGCATCTGGTAGGATCTCAATATCTCTCATCGCTGAGGCGGCGCCCTTCGATGCAACTCCGAGGGACTTGAAGACAGCCTCCTTGCCAGCCCAACGTGCGGCGAAAGAAGCAGCGGGCACAGGCTGTGAGCGGCAGTACTGCAATCTCGGCCTCATGTGAAGTTTCGCGACACAAAAGTAGGATTGGAAGAAGGGATAGCGGATATGAGTTCTAGACATTGTCGTTAGTATTAGTAAATAACATGGAACAAGCTTAGGACTTACCATGGTCGACGCCAACGCCGACAGACCCCTCGCCATTCTCAAGGACCTTTGCCGTAGCCTCCACATTCGAAAGGTCATATGAGGCTGTCGTCGTCAGCTTCTTAGGGAACGAGTAGCTGCCGCTCTTCTGGTCAAGCGTGGCGCGCGCCATCGAGTTGAGGAGAACGGGCACTTCAAGCTCGGGGGAGTAAGGTGGCGACTCCTTGATCCTGACAAGGGAGTTCGTAGTCATCATCGAGGTCATGGCCTTGTAGCATGCCATCGAGCGTTCGCGGTTGCGAAGCTGGTAGGCCTCGTATTGGGCAGGTTCGACAGCTCCAAGAACTGTAACGAGGATGAATGACGAGGACCGTTCCACCGACTTGACCGAAGCCGAACGAAGACTATCAAACGAGAAAAGAGAGTTAATCATCCATTATTGTCAACCTGAACGTAATAAAATAAAGATTACCATAATTCCAGCGCGGACACCGTCCGTATATATGGTTTTTGAGGGGAACATGAGGTGCTGGTGCTTACGGAAATCTGCGTCAACATTGCTGAAAAAGGATAAGCTCAAAGTTCTCAACGCGAAAAGGTTAAAACTCACTCGGCGTTACGGTTGCCCGGAACGACTACCTGAGCCGACCGTCTGGATTAAGCCAGCAAGCTGCCAAGCAGCAGACCCACCCTTCGAGTGACCGCAGAGGCTCTTTTGAGCCATGATCGGGACGGCATTTCCAGGCGTGCGATTGAGAGTCGTGAAAACGTCGTTCCAGATCTGTGTCTCATTCTTCTCATTGGCTTTTGTGCTTGTGCCGTGGATCGAGAGAACAGTTAATGTCGTCCGGAGTAAGTCCGAAGACCGCGAGAGCGCGGCGAAGAGGAGATATGTGAGGGTCGGATCCCGAGAGCATGCCATATACTGCAAGTGCGTCGTTCTCCTGACGAGCCGCGTCTTGCTCGATCTGAGCAACACGCGTAGACATGTATTCGTCATCGACGATGTCGCCTTGGGACCTCCGGAATTCGACCTCATCGCGAAGCAACTCGTGTTCATTACTGAGCCACTGCGAGATTTGCTTGCGACGGAAGGCGAGCTGACGGGAACGGTAGGCGACGTCGAGAATTGGTGCGCTGTGCTTCGAAGGGATCTCGCGAGCAATAGTGAGCGCGCCGCGGCCGGGAGCGGGAATCGACCGACCCGCCTTGTCAGTCGAAGTTGAGGTGAATCCGACGACCGCCCGGATAGGTGCACCAAGCTCGATAGCGGTTTTCGCAGTCATAAGAACGTGAACACCAGAACCCATGGACTCCATGAAACCCGAGCGAGTCGAGGTTGTTGGTCTTGACATTTCTGTCGGCTCGCGGCCCATCGCAAACTCAGTCTCAGCGTTGCTCGTCGCTTTCATCTGGGCGAACTCATAGGAGCCCTCCTCGCCGAGATCGTCGTAGCCACCAGCGAGCATGACCTTCGCTTTCCCGGAAAGGAGAGTATCGCAAGCGATTTCGACGGACTGAAGTGCCGTAGCACAAGCACCCACGGGGATCTTGATGGGTCCGCTGGATGACAGGAGAAGTAAGTTTATCCAGCCCGCCGTGGTATTGATGAATGTCTCCTGAAGGACGTCGTTCTGGACTTCCAGGCCGTCGCGACGCTCTCGGAACATGCTGCGAAGGGATTGGACACCACCCATGCCAGCACCGATGCACGTACCAACCTCCGACGGATGCATATGCTTGTAGAGTTCATACGGATCGGTAATACCGGACATATTGAGCGCATCGGCGGTAGAGACGAGAGCCCAGAGAGTGCAGCGGTCGACTTGGTCAATAATGTCCTGAGGAATACCATAGCGTCCAGCAGTGCCAGCCCGACTGGGATCTGGCCCGCAACGGTGCGATTGAACTGGAACGACTTCGGGACGTAAATACGCGCGCCCTTCTTGAGCTTGACGTACCACTGTCCGCCCTCGGCAGCCCAGATATCACACTTGTCCTTATGCTCGTGCTTGAAACGTTGAGCTTCTTCCTCAGCGACTTCGAGCGCCTCGAGATCGTGAATAAGCTCGATCTCCTGGTTGAATGTCTTATTATTGGGATTATACCCATTAAGAAGCTCCGGCTCTGATAAAACAATTCAGTGACGATACAGAGTAAGATAAAATAAAAATAAAATACCGATGAGACGAACACCGGCATGTGCGAGAATCTCCTTTTCGTACTTGTTGCGCACGTCTTTGTCATCTACAGGCTCGCCGCTTTTCGTATCAACCCAGCCAACATAAAGCGAACCATTGGGCAGCCGACCGTCGAAGTGCTTGATGTAACCCATGAGCCATGCCATCTCGATACAGCCCTCGATCGTGAATTCGCCCCTCGCTTCCATCTCCCAGCGCGTACGCGAGCTTCCCCACGGCCCAACCTCACCGAAACCAGTGACGACGACAACTTTGTTGAGATCCAGAAGACCCTGCAGCTTCGCTACGTCCTCGAGCGATTCCGCTGATTCAAGTTTGGGGAAATCAAACTTGAAGTTCGCGCGTGGCGTGACGGCGACAGTCTGCAATACGCGCTCCGCCTCGCCGCCCTTCAGTGACCGTGAAG